CATGAAAGTCGGACCAAAGTAGTGCAGGAAATACTTTCAAGTCGCTGCAATGGTACTCATTGGGGTTCGATTTGTCATGCGACTTTGGACTCCAAAGTCGCATGACAAGTCGCACGAGTGTGAATGGGCTCTAAATGAAAACATTGCAGAAACCAACCCTGGTGTATTTGATTGAAACCCAACTCCAGGATATTGGTAACTCACCCTGGTTACTAACATTTATAGGTAAAGTTGATCCAGGGAATATCTGATTGCCTCTCGGGGAATCAGGAAGGAATTTTTTCCCCTGCAGGAGCAAATTGGATCATGCTTTGCTGGGATTTTTGCTTTCCTTTGGATCAACTGTGGGTATAAGATTACAACTTTTTTTTTTTTTTTTTTTTTTTTTATGGCTGAATTGGATGGATTTTTGTCTGCTTTCAGCCAGACTAACTATATAACCCTCCCACACACCCCTAACTGTTGGTAGTAAAAAAAAACTTACCCAAATAAACATTTTACTTACCTGAGGCCATCTGCTCAATCCTTCTCTGTTCTTCTGTTTAGCTTCTGGGGTCCTTCATGGGGTGTCCACAAATGTAGACACTTCCCACTGATGGAGGCGACACTTCCAGTGACCAGGTCCTCTTAAAGACTTCAGAGATGGGAGAGCTAACAAGCAGGGGAAAATGTCTTGTCCTCAGGACAGGGAATTGGCTAGGTTCATAGAGAAAACTGTGACTTTTGATCCATTACACTGCAGGGTGGCAAAGGCTAATTTCACACTGCTCTGTGGCCAAAACATGGTAAAAAACGCATATGCTATTTTGCCATATTTCCGCGTTTTACGCCTGTGAAAAAAAAGACACCTGTGCATTTTTGATGCATTTTCATTTTAAAAATGCAGCTTACAGGACTTTGAAAAACACAATGGACCCGCAGCTAACCAGTGTGAAGAGTTCCATAGGATTTAATGTTCATTCTTTTTTTTTTTTTTCCCCCCACTTTTTAACACAAAAATGGAAGAAAAACTGATCAATGTGAAAGCAGTTTAGGAAGAGGTTTTGAAATCCAAACTGGGGAGTCTCAATGCACTGTTTAGAGTTCATTTTTGACAGGTGTTGTGCTTAAAGCATTTAATAACCTTTTATTAAACATTTCCAACTTGAGCTTTCCTTTGGGAAACAGTTAAATCAGTGGGTTTAGTTCCACTTTAACCGCTTTAATACCGGGCACTATTACCCCCTTCTTGCCCAGGCCAATTTTCAGGTTTCAGCGCTATCACATTTTGAATGATAATTGCGCAGTCATACAACATTGTACCCAAACTAAAATTTTATCATTTTCTTCACACAACTAGAGCTTTCTTTTGGTGGTATTTAATCACCGCCGGGGTTTTTATTTTTTGCTTAATTATCAAAAAAAGACCAAACATTTTGAAAAATAAACACGTTTTCTTTGTTTCTGTTATAAAAGTTTGCAAATAAATAATTGTTCTTCATAAATTTAGGCCAAGATGTATTCTGCTACATGTCTTTGGTGAAAATAACCCAAATTAGGATGTATTATTTAGTTTGTAGGAAAGTTATAGAGCTCACAAACTATGGGATATATCTGAAAATTGATCAATCCTGAAGTACTGACGGCCAATCTAATTTCTTGAGGTCCAAGAATGTCAGAACAGTACAGATATCCCCCAAATGACCCCTTTTTGCAAAGTAGACAGTCCAACGTACTTCATAAGAGGCATGGCGAGTTTTTTGAAGTTGTAATTTTTTTGTCATTTTTTCGGAAATGAAGAAATAAAAAAAATATTTTCACTATTTTTTTACATATCACCAGTGCAGTACAGCGTCATCATATAACTGGCATGGCGGTGATCAGGGACACTGACTGGTGACACTACGAAAAAAAAAATTGATAATTTTTTTTATTATTATTATTTTTTATTACATTTTTTTTTTTCTCTTTTTTAAGATTTTTTTTTTTTGACACAATTTGCTTATAGCAAAGAATTACTTTGCTATAAGCCAGGATTTACCTGAATGAAATCGATTCATTCAGGATTTTTTTTTTTTTCTTAACTGTGATTTGGCCACAGCTAATCACATGACACAGCTGGGCTGTGATTGGCCCAGCTTGTGCATGTGATCGCTGTGACCATTCACAGCTAGCCACACTATACAATGAATGGCATGATAGGAAGCCATCCATTGTATACAGCTGTCATGCGACCTGCTGTGATTGGTCACAGCAGGTCACATGATACTGGCAACAGGGCCGGTACTTAGATCTGTCATCGGCCGTGTATGAGGTACACGGCCAGTGACAGATCGCGCCGCTGCGTGGCTCTGCGGGCATGCAAACTGCACATGCCGAAAGGACACCATATGGTGTCCACCCGGAGCGGTGAGGGTTTTTGCCGGCCGCCATTCAGCCATAGGCCCAGCGGGAACCAGTTAAGCAAATACTGTATGTTGTGAATTTATTGCAGAGTTTCTTACCTGGAGATCCAATAACGCACTTCCTGTTGTAGGCTGATATCACAAACACTGGCCATACACTATACAATTTTCAGTCCAATTTCTGCCCAATTTCCATTAGATTTACCTTCAGTCCAATTAGTGCCCAAGGGCTTGCCATTAATTTACCTACAATTGAAAGGGCTGCCTTTGGATACAATTGAAAGTGTTTTGACCTCATATTATATGGTTTTGGTAAGGCTAGGTTTACATATGTGCGGGTAGTGCCGCTGCGGATCTGCACAAAAATCTGTGCAATCTGTGTGGCACCACCGGCACAAAGGAATGCAGACCCACGGGCGGGTGCCATTAATTCTAACGGCACGCCGCCCACACTGGAATTCGCAACTATATTGGGAACCGAGGTTCCCCAGAGAAGAAGTGCAGGGACTTCCTCCCTGCGTGTCCTGGGACACGGCAAATCATTTAAATGAATGGGCTCTCGTGCCCGCGCAAAACGCGGATCACAGGAAAGCGGATATGTGAACCAAGGGTAAATCTAAAGTGGAGTTCTCAAGAAAATTGTATAATGTATGGCCAGCCTTACCCTCTGCCTGACAATTAGCAGCAGTGTTGTCAGCCTTTGTGCTGTTTATTAGATAGGCAGCCTTTATCAGCGTTTTGTAGTGCTTTTTGCAGAAACGCACTGCAGTCCATTTAACATGGTTTCCTATGGGATATGTTCACATCTATGCTTTTTTTTGAGCTGCAGCGTTTTTGCTACAATGGAGTTCAATGGAGAATCTGCTGAAATGCATGGTAGTGCGTTTGTGCTGCATTTTGCATTTTTATTCTGCCCAGCACAAAAAAAAAAATTCCACTTTGGGAAAAAAAAAAAAAAAGCTGAACAAAACGCAAAACGTGGTAAAAATGCGCGTAGAAAAACTCAAAACGAATGGCGAAAAGAACTGCAAAACGGACAAAAAGTGAACTGCATAAGTGTGAACGGAGCTTTAGGCTTGGTTCGCACCAATGCATTTTTTAGTGCCTTTTGCAGAAATGCAGTGCTTTCCATTTAACATGGTTTCCTATGGAATATGTTCAATGGAGAATCTGCTGAAATGCATGGTAGTGTGTTTTTTTTTTTGCATTCTTATTCTGCCCTGCATTAAACAAATTCCACTTTAAAAAAAAAAAAAAAAAAAAAATCTGAACAAAACATGACAAAACTGTGTGCAGAAAAATGCAAAACAAATGGCGAAAAGCACTGCAAAACGGACAAAAAGCAAATTGCATAGGTGTGATTGGAGCCTTAGGCTTGGTTCACAGCAATGCGTTTTTTTGCGCTTTTTGCAAAGACGCACGGCAGTCCATTTAACATGGTTTCCTATGGGACATGATCACATCTATGCTTTTTTGAGCTGCTGCGTTTTTAGAAAGGTTCAGGGATTTTATTTAAAAGCAAAAAGCAGCTTTTTTGCTAAAATAGAGTTCAGTGGAAAAGGTGCTGAAATGCATATTTTTTGCGTTTTATATTCTGCCTAGCAACAAAAAAAAATTCCACTTCAACCGAAAGAAAAGAAATACAAAACACGGCAAAAACGCACACGCATAAGCACAAAAACACAGTGCAAAAAGCACTGCAAAACAAAAAGTACAATCTTTGGTGTGAACCAAGCCTTACTTACATGGACAAGCAACATATTTACAAAATTTAGCTCATTGGCTCAAAGCTCTGAAGACGGAGGATCAGCATGACAGCTGGGCGACTTTTATTTTCAGAATAAAATTGGCAATGACAAGCCCCGTATTTTTCTCACAACGGATTTCTCTTCTGTCAAACAATATTTGTCACTTGTGCATTGTGATTTATAATCTGCTTGTACAGGTGACATCAATCTGGCTTCTATGGTCAGGTCTGATTCGGGATATTTGGCTGCCTAGGAACTTGATCCAGCACATTGCTAACCAGCTTCCAGTCATTTCTGTGCGGCAGCTGTAATGAATCATTTCAATACACCTGGTTAGATAATTAAACCTCTGTGTTTTGGAGTATAGTGCGGCAACCACTCTATACTGGGACCCAGCAGAATATTTTTAGCAAGCATTTCCTGGAAACTACGATGGGAGATGCGTGCTGCTTGCATGAAATATATTTATTACCCATGAAGAATCACTGTATGATCATATTAATTAAAGGCAGGCGTCTCTTATGCTGTGCAGTATAAATCCAAAACAGTCTTTATGTGTTATCTTGATATTATCTTGTGATTGTACCTGTTGCTGGGAAAAAAAATCAATGCTTTCTGCTAATGGACGAACTTGAATGCTTTACTATTCAGCTAAGAACTGTGCGCTTCTTTTTTGAGCAGATGAGAAACGTATATATTATTGATGCCAATACCAAAGATGAAACCATTAAAGCTTGCATTGTCCCCAGCTCCGAGGGTATTCAGATCCAACACTATTAATATTTATTAACCACAAGCCTACAGGGCACTTATACCCCCTTCCTGCACAGGCCAATTTCCAACAAACCAAAAACCACAGAAATTTTTGTTATAAAATTTTGTAAATAAGTGATTTTTCTCCTTCACTGATGTGCGCTTATGAGGCTACAGTGATGGGCACTGATAGGCTGCACTGATGGGCATTGACAGGCTTCACTGATGAGCACTGAAAGGCAGCACTGATATATGGCACTGATAGGCGGCACTGACTGGCACTGTTAGGTGGCACTGACTGGCACTGACAAGCGGCACTGATTGGTAGCACTGATTGGCATTGATAGGTGGCACTGACTGGCACTGATGGGTGACACTGAAAGGCAGCTCAGATTGGTACTGGTATGCAGCATTGATGTACACTGGTAGGCACTGATATGTGGCATTGATGTGGCACTGGCATGTGGAACTGATGAGCACTGACAGCTGGCACTGATGGACACTGACAGGTGGCACTGCTGGGGCTACACAGATCATCAGGGCACATTGATCATCAGTGCTCTGATGATCAGTGTACATGTCCCCTCTGAGTAATGCCGATTACCGGCTCTCCTCTCCTCACGAGCTGTCAGTGTGACAGCTCGAGAGGAGAGAAATATCAATAACCGGCATTTCCCTGTTTATATGTGATCAGCTGTGATTGGACACAGCTGATCACATGACTGAGCCGACATCTTCGGCTTTCCGTGGATCGGTGATCCGCTGTGTCTGAGGGACACAGCGCACCACCGATTGCCGCGCTCTGGGAGCCGTGCATGCGCGGTGAGAATAGGGAGGACGTCATATGACATCCTCTCAGAACGAGAGAACCACCTTGCGTCCGTCATATTACTACATTTTTTTTTTTTTTTTTTTTTTTTTTTGCAGACCCCGGATTTCCTTTCCATTAGCATTTCAATTGGATATTAGTAATAGCCTTGTAATCAAGTTAAACTTTACCTAGATCTCGGAAGCAGGCAGGCGCCATCATGGCTGTGGGCATCTGAAGCCCGCAGGTCTTTACTTCCTGGAAACTGGTGCTGCTGGCTATTCCAGCATTCACCACTCGATCTCGCAAAGAACCAGCAAACACAAATGCTCCTGCACTTGGGGATGGACTCGATGCAGGCTACAACCACCTTAAGAATGTCCTGGAACATGCACACCTTGCTGCCCTCAATAGACCGGGGAAATCCAAATATACTGAATGAGGAAAGAACAAACACAGGGTGCACAGGCCTAGTGCATTACCATAAAAAATGTTTAGTAAGAAATAAAATAGGTGTTGTACTTGCAAACAACAATAAAGTCAAGGTACGTCATAAAAGAACAGCTTCGTCAACACTGCGCTGAGTAACAGTCCGCAATAGGGAGTGTAGACATCCAATAGCCTGACGCGTTTCGAGGACTTGCCTCTTCCTCAGAGCCACTTGATCTCGTGCCTGCGCAGTACTGCTACTGCTCGGTGAGACTTGTATACTACAGGGTGCCATAACAATGGTGAGGATGGCGGAAGTTCCCGCCCCCTTATGGCAACCTGTACATCAATTCACTCAATACACACAGCGTACACTTTTTCCATACAAGGACTTCGGTAAAATGGTGCCAAACTCCTCCCATTCGCATCATCTCCGGTTTCGAAGTACCGCGAGCCCAAAGGACTCCTGGGATACAGGACACGACATCCCAGGAGACCTTGCGATTCGCCTTACGTCATTGCCTAGGCGGCCGGGACCAGAACTACAATCCTAAAAATGGATTGAAAGGTATTTATAATACAAAAAAAAAAAAACTATCCAAATGGTGCTTTACAACGCAGGTACAATGTACAGAGATGCACTTTAAAACATGGGTGGAACTCCGCTTTATGTCAGCAGAAAGGGCTCACTCATAGCAGAATGTGGGTGGCATCGATGTGCATTTTCAAGGTGCACCATTGTGTTATAAGAGCCTCCACTTGGCTTGACTTGAATTGTAAAAGGTCAGTGCAGCCAAAATGCTGTATACAGAGCTAAATATTTCTAAAACACCTGAACCCTAGATTCACATCTGTGCAGGTGGTGCCGCTGCGGATCCACACGAAAATCCATGCGCCCGTACCACCCACACAGAGAAATGCGGACCCGTGGGCGGGTGCCATTAGTTCTAATGGCACGCCACCCGCACTGGGAAACACAACCGTACTGGGAACCGAGGTTCCCGTGCGGGCTGCATTTTCCAAAGAAGTGCAGGAATCCATTCAAATGAACTGGGGGGTCCCACTACATGGTGGTGGAAGCAGCCCTATTGGGAACAATGGACTTTTTCATATCTATATATGGAATTCTTGCACACTGGATCATTTTTCTAATATTCCTAACACTTCAGGCTGTTTCAGATGGGCAGCCACCTCCCCGAATACCACCCCACGCAGCCATGGCATGTGTACAGCATTTGCATTTTTAACTCGGGGTGCAGAGTTTGGCAGCACCTGTCAAACTCACCCATTGAGTTAAATGGGGCCTTGCTGCAACTTAGTACAGCTAAGGGTTAAATCCGAAAAGGAGGAAGAGGACACAGAAGGTGTGAAAGAGCCCTTCCTATATTGCATTTTTTTTCATTTCTGGTACCCCTCCCCATTTTTTTTTCCTTTTTGGTAAGTAGCATAGTATTCTAAAGCTGACCATACATACATAGATTTTGCAGTGCTGATGGGCAAGATCTCCCACTGCAGCTATTGTATTTTGTATTTTGACAGCCGGTCCCAGATGTGCAAATCTCCAAACTCTGTTCCTTTCTGCTCCTTTGATTTTTCAATTGAAGGATGTCGGGCAGGGAAGAGGTTGGTAGAGCCACTCGCTAAGAATTTCAGCTGGTTCATAAAGCTTACCTGTAGGCAAAATTAATATCACCTAAATGTGCAGCCTTTAGGAAATATTCTAACGAGCAGCAGCTGGTGATGTCACATTTGATGCGCTTCTGCATTGCATTTTTGCCTAATTTTTTTCCACGTTTTTGATGCAATTTGTGTTTTGTTTTTCCATTTTGTTTTTCTTGTTGCTAGGTAGATTTTAAATACAAAGCGCAGTAAAAATGCAAGACATGCCTTTCTGCTGCATTCCCATTGAAGTGTATATAACCAAATGCACAAAGTTTTGCGTTCAAAAAAAGTCCCTGACCTTTTCCAAAAAGCGCACCAGGTGAAAACGCAGAGATTTGAAACCTGTCCCATAGGAAATCATATTAAATGGATTGTACTGCGTTTCTACAAAATGCTGCAGTGACCGTCAGCTGGAACCGAGCAGAGTCAAATGCCTGATGAAGGGGTCCTGCGAGACTCCGAAACGTTGCCTTGCTGTAACTATGTAAACCTTCATTAAAGCCTTTTTGGACCCATATTGGAGATCCTTGGTGTGCCGGTGACATTTGTCTCTGAAGGAATGGCATACCTGTGCCATTCCTTCAGAGCTGTGTGCCATGGCCGAGACTCCTGTGCGCATGTTCAGGAGTGACGTCATTGCGGCTCGACCATTCAAGTGGCCAGAGAGACCCAGTAGGAAGACCAAGTGAAGATGGAAGCCTCTGCAGTGGTGACATCACACCATTGGAATGCTTCGTTTCAGGGTAAGTCCTTCATAATGTGCTAATATGTGGTGCATACTAGCACATAATGATATTGCCTTGCAGGAGAAACTTTTTTTTTTTCCAAGACTTTACTTTCTTTAGTTTCATCACAGCCTCTTGGGACTTTTATTTTTGGATGGACTATTTTTTTTTTTTTACACATTTTTCACTTGTTTTCTCATGATTATTTGTAACTTTTTGAGCGCTGCACTTTTTATTGTTGATTGTCCTAGTATCAGGGTTTTTGTGTTCAGCTGCTATATGTTTTACATCTCATTTTTGATTATTAATTCTCTATTGTGGCGCAGGTGTTATATATATATTTATATATTATATATTTACTATATAACTAGTCACTTATGAGTGGTTGCAGTGAGTTCTTGCACTTTGCGTATGGTTCTTTGCCTTAGATCTATGCATGTTTGAAGAGGTGCATTTTTTTTGTATATAGCATTAGGTGTGTTGTCATACATCAACATGTATTTTCTGTGCTTTGGCATGCTGTATTGATGTCTGTTAAAACAGGTTTTCAATGCATTCTTGAATTTAGGTTGTAGAGTGATAGAGTTAACAGCCAATGACCAAGGCTGGTTAATATCTGTTGCATTGCTCATAACATTTTGGGTGTTTTACAGAACAAAATGGACGGGCTGTCATCATTTTTCAAAAAACATTGCAATACAGCACTGGGATGGGAATAGATGTTGTTTTTACTATGGGGAATTTTGGACATATGTTTCAGTGCATTGTAAAGTGTCCATTAAAACACAACTATGTTTAAGGCACACTTTAAGCAAAGCTTTAACCTGCACTTCAAGCACACATTTAATTTATAAATATTCCTCAATAGCTACAAACATTTTAAATCCACTTTGTGTGCAGCAAGTGCCATTACAAACCTAGATATTACCTTTTAAAGTGGCAGTGACACCATCACTGTTTTGTTTTTTTAAATTTTTTTATAGTCTGCAGAAGTGCGAAAAAAAACCCGTAAGTGAACAAAAAACGTGCAAGTGCAAAACACCAACATAAAAAAAAGTGCACTTAGGGGTGTCCACTATGCTTTACCTAGACTGTACATAGAACAGAGCTATGGGATGTACCTTAGTGGCCTGCAGAAAACTACAGTAGGGCGGAGACGAGACCAGTCATCCTGCTCAAGAAGAGAGAGCAGCAGTGACTGGTCTTTATTACAGGAAGCTCCTGCGCAGAGGAGGTTTTTTACCTTTGGATTACTGCACCAAGATTCAAGTAAGAATACACAGGACCCGTGTATTTAGACAATATTTTCTCAAGAGTTAAGCTTTCAAAAATTAACTGAGTGAAAAATGTATCTGCCAAACTGTATTTGTACATCGACACCGTATTCAGGCAAAATAATGAACATAGTACCCCTCAAATGCCCCCCCACATCTGTGTCATTCGGTTTAGCATGTGAATAGACTGGTGCAAGACAGACAGGGTTGGCTTGTCAGACTCTAGTAGACTTCAACAAAATGGTGGCCGTCTGCACACACAGATGGACTCCCTGTTGCATAAATATGAATGTGATGGGTAAAAAATAGCTTCAGCTCCTGTTCTCCACCTGTAGAGAACTCCCCAAATGCGTTTCGCCCTTTTTGGGGCTTAATCGTAGAGCATTTTGCTGAACCGTATTCAGACAGTTGCAGATGCAATGCCTGCTGAGCGCAATAGCTAGCAGTGGAGACACTAGATGGCTTACGGGCTGAACAAGAGAAAATCAAGGCAAGTATGGCTAGATTTAGGGTTGTCCATATTTTTTAGCAGTAGCTTAGATCTGTAATAACGTATAAAATAACATCTAATCTATGTGACAGTATTGGCACAGAAATGTAGCATTTCGGGTGAACATTGACAAGGCATCCATATGAGCACAGATGAATGCATCACGTGTGCGCATATCCCTGTGCCTGGTTGAAGTCACATAGCAACCATTGAGAGCAAGGTATAAGTGCGAGGACTGCAGCCGCTCTTACATCATCACCTTCTCTTTGGTGCTCTTCCTTGCGGCTCGCACTTGCGGTGACACCTGTCATTTCTGTAATTGAATTTCTGCCCCCTACAAGGTCCAGCCTCATTGTATGCAAATAAGAAAAGTAAGTGCATGCACAATGTAATGATGAGCCTTTGGTAATCACAGGGACTGTCTGCTCTCCATGCCCTGCAAATAATTTACTGCTGAGTGACACGCACATACTGGCCAGCTTCTTACCACATCATTAAGACAGCTTTATACTTGGATGATAAATCTGTAGCATAGTGCTAGGTGACGTTCGCTCTGCTGCTGCTTATAGGCAAACTATTTTCATGAACTACCTAGAAGAGAGCCCAAATATAGCGATTATGAGCTTCTTTTAAAGTCCCTGCAATTGCTTTAAGTTTGTGGCTGACATAGGATAGGGGAATAAGAGGTTACTCTCCACATTACTAATGGGAGCAGCTGCTATACACCCGATGACGGGTAGAAGTGCTTGGGGTATGAAAGACACCTGCGACATCAATGCAGCTTTCTTTTCTTTTTCTGCAAAGAAGAATGCTTTCAGTGGAAACCAGAACGATTACTAAGCACTCAACGAAGCTTAATTAATATTACGCTGCAAGTCACTTGTGTGAATAGATGAACCGTAGCTCACAGTTCTGAAGATGAGACCCCATAGCGTTCTGTAGCAGCACATGTGGAACAAGGCTAAAGACTCCGCAGATAGAACCAAACATCAAACTTAACAAAGGGAAAGACGTCTGTTTGTGATGTAATACCTGCTCAGTTTCCACGTACCAAAAGAACAAGTACTATGTGGTGTTGCATCAGCTGTATCAAATTCTATATAAAGTGCCACATGTCAGTTTCTATAATCGTCCGATCACATGCGCCAAAATAATGAAGCATGTGAACCAATGTTCTAATTTAGAGCATGTCACTCCAACATTTCCTATTCCTGATATGTGTATGTTATACCATGTACTTGTGTTAAAAGGTATCTTGTTTTCTTTGCATTGCTTCCTTTTGTGTTCCTGCCTGTCTCCCTGCTTTCTTATTAAAAATTGACTACACTAGGCATAAGAACACATACATCACAACCACGGCACCACCTGCCTGGAGTTTGCATGTTCTCCTTGTGCTTGCGTGGGTTTCCTCTGGGTTTTCCGATTTCCTCCCACACTCCACAGACCTGCTGGTAGGTTAATTGGATTCTGTCTAAATTGACCCTAGTGTGTGTATAAATGAATGTGAGTTAGGGACCTTAGATTGTACGCCTCTTGAGGGTTAGGGACCTTAGATTGTACGCCTCTTGAGGGTTAGGGACTGATGTGATGGTACAATATATATGTAAAGTGCTGCGTAAATTGACGGTGCTATATAAGTACCTGCAATAATAATAATAATCCCAGTGTGGTCAGTTTTCTGTCTTTCCTCCACGATCAAACTTGTGCTGACACGCCCTCCCCTGGTCAGCTGTTCACTGGGAAGATCAGCGTACTGCTGTTTTGCTACCCCCAGCTCTAAGTCCCTTTTGCAAATGAAAACAGAAATTACCGTATTTTTCGCTCCATAAGACGCACCTGACCATAAGATGCACCTAGGTTTTAGAGGAGAAAAACAAGAAAAAAATATTCTGCAGTATAAAGTATAAAGTAATAAAGGACTGCAGACATAGTACAGGAAATGATCAGAGACTGCGGACACAGTATAGGGGATGACCAGAGACTGCGGACACAGTACAGGAGATGACCAGAGACTGCGGACACAGTACAGGAGATGACCAGAGACTGCGGACACAGTACAGGAGATGACCAGAGACTGCGGACACAGTACAGGAGATGACCAGAGACTGCGGACACAGTACAGGAGATGACCAGAGACTGCAGACACAGTACAGGAGATGACCAGAGACTGCGGACACAGTACAGGAGATGACCAGAGACTACGGACACCGTACAGGGGATGACCAGAGACTACGGACACAGTACAGGGGATGACTAGAGACTGCGGACACAGTACAGAGGATGACTAGAGACTGCGGACACAGTACAGAGGATGACTAGAGACTGCGGACACAGTACAGGAGATGACCAGAGATTGCAGACGTAGTACAGGAGATGACCAGAGACTGTGGACACAGTACAGGAGATGACCAGAGACTGCGGACGTAGTACAGGAGATGACCAGAGACTGCGGACGTAGTACAGGAGATGACCAGAGACTGCGGACACAGTACAGGAGATGACCAGAGACTGCGGACACAGTACAGGAGATGACCAGAGACTGCGGACGTAGTACAGGAGATGACCAGAGATTGCGGACGTAGTACAGGAGATGACCAGAGATTGCGGACATAGTACAGGAGATGACCAGAGACTGCGGACATAGTACAGGAGATGACCAGAGACTGCGGACACAGTACAGGAGATGACCAGAGACTGCGGACACAGTACAGGAGATGACCAGAGACTGCGGACAGTACAGGAGATGACCAGAGACTGCAGACACAGTACAGGAGATGACCAGAGACTGCGGACATAGTACAGATTACCAGAGACTGCGGACCTTTGGGGAGGGAGGGGGAGCGGGTACCTGGATTTGACAGGTACCCATCCCACTTCCGCGGAGTTGTCCTTCCTTCTTCTTCCCGCGCCGGCTTCTGTGACAGCCGGGTGCCCACTGCGCATGCGTGAGAAGCGCTGCGCTTTTTGATTGGCCCGGAGCCTTCTGGGACCTGTCGTGTCCTAGAAGACGCTGGACCATTCACAAAGCACAGCGCTTCTCACGCATGCGCAGTGGGCACCTGGCTGTCACAGAAACCGGCGCGGGAAGACTGTACATTGCTGGAGAGAGAAACAGGTAAGGTCCTGCAGGAGAGAAGAGCTGAGCGGCCGGCCCGATATTCTGACATGGTGGCGGCAAAAATACCGGACCAGACGCTGCATAAGACGCACTGACATTTTCCCCCCCCCCTTTTTGGGGGGAAAAAAGTGCGTCTTATGGAGCGAAAAATACAGTAAGTGATCATTAATAAAAAAAATAACTTATAAGTATTTATAATGTTTTTAAATATACAGTATCCGCAAATTATATCCACAAATGATTTTCATTTCAATCTTAAACTGAATGTTTTACAAAGTGAGGGTTCACATAAACTGTCCTTTAAAAATAGGGTGTAAATACTGTAATGAGGAGGGGAGGACAACGATCTAAGGAGAGGAGAGGGGGATGTGTCTACAGCAGCCTTTCTCAACCAGGGTGCCTTAAGGTTTCTTCAGGGGTGCCTTGGCAAAATGTCTAAAATTTACCCAATACTTGTATACAAGCCAGCGGGTGGAACAAGCCTGCCTTTTAGTTACACAATGCCACAGGTTTTCATTGGATCATTCTAGCCGCCTTCTAGCCGCCAGCATCCTGACAACCAATGACATCATCAGTTGATAAGGAGGATGTCAGCTGCCTGCACAGCATCCTAGTTTTACCCTCCCCCGCCCCTCTCCATCAGTGCTAGGGTCACATTAGCTCAGTGATGGAGAAAAAACTGAGGGATAAGAGAAACATTGGCATACTAGTCAGTACCAGCGTGCAAAAGTGTATTTTCTTTGGAAGAATACATCCCCTCTAATGTTGGGTATCCTACATGTGTGGAGGTTGCTGCGTTATATAAAACTAGTAGAATTGTTTTTCATATTTTAGAATGGGGTGCCCTTTTAAAATGATGGACAGTCTTGAGGCAACCTTTTTTAGAATGGGGTGCCTGAAGACTGTCCATAATTTTAAAAGGTGCCTTGACTGTGAAAAGGTTGAGAAACACCGGTCTATATGTCCTGTGTAGTGCAGCAGTGCAGGATGAAAGGAAGAACATTTAGGATGATCCCAGCAAAAGATTACCGCAGGTTTGCATCAACATTTTGGGTAAATGTGCTTGAATCTAGTGCACCACCTCCACCACCATGCAACAAATAAATGGATTGCCATGGGCAGCATTTATTGTGCTGCAGGAAGCACTAAATTAGCAGGCATGTAGAAATTGTCTCATTTTTTTGGCATGCATCAGTCTTTATTAAAGGAAAAGTACACTCATTGGCCATTTTATTAGGAACACCTGTTCAATTGCTTGGTAACACAAATTGTTAATCAACCAATCACATGGCAGCAATTCAGTGCATTTAGTCATCTAGATGTGGTAAAGACAACTTGCTGAAGTTCAAACCAAGATTTAGATTGGGGAAGAAAGGGGATTTAAGTGACTTTGAATGTGGCATGGTTGTTTGTGCCAGACAGGCTGGTCTGAGTATTTAAAAAACTACTGATCTACTCTGATTTTCATGTACAACCATCTCTAGGGTTTACAGAGAATGGTCAGAAAAAGAGAAAATATCCAGTGAGCAGCAGTTGTATGGACGAAAATGCCTTGTTGATGTCAGAGGTCAGAGGAGAATGGGCCAAATGGACCAAAATCTCTGAGGAATGTTTTCAACACCTTGTTGAATCTATGCCACGAAGAATTAAGGCAGTTCTGAAGGCAAAAGGGGGTCCAACCCGGTACTAGCAAGGTGTACCTAATAAAGTGGCCGGTGAGTATATAAGTTAATAAAACCCACACTTAACGTACCTTCCTGCTGCAGTTTTACCCTACTGATGTAGAGAACTGAGCAATCACATGACAGCTGATCACTCAGTTCTTGGTCTTCATGGAGCAGAGGGCAGTGATTTTAGTCACTGCTCTGTGTTCTGCCCCTCCAGCGCCCACTAAAACGCCGGACTGTGGAGGGCACGGGAGCACCTGGCTCAGGCTGTCAGCAGTACACCGAGAGGCTGAATCAGCTGCTGGTCAGGCATCTGGGTGGATCCTCATATTATTGTTGAGATCCTTCGAGAGCCTGGATCAGCTCTGTGATGTCAGCCGACAGCACGCTTTAGCTCGCTGTCATCTGATTCTGGGTCACAAAAGAGCACTAGTACGTGCACTCCTTTGACCCAGAAGAAAAGTATGACCGAAAAAAATAGCTTTGGCCACACTTCTTCCTTTATCCCCCCCATTCAGTCAATTGATTTTTTTTGTTTGTTTTTTTGTCCTGTTGTACCATAGACCCATGATAACACATTGCATCTTAAGGCTAGGTTCACATCTGTGCGGGTGGTGCTGCTGCGGATCCGCACCAAAATCTGTGCAGCCGCACCACCCACACAGAGGAATGCGGACCCGCGGGTGGGTGCCATTAGTTCTAACAGCATGCCGCCCGCACTGGAAAACGCAACCGTACTGGGGACCGAGGTTCCCGTGCGGGCTGCGTTTTCGGAAGAAGTGCAGGGACTTCTCTGCGTGCCACGGGGCACGGGAGTCCATCCAAATGAATGGGCTCTCCTGCCTGCGCAAAAGGATGCCCGCACGGCCACATAGATGTGAATCGGGGCTTAGGTGTGACTGGGCTCTTAGTCAAATAGGTAGAATTTATAATAGAATAGAAGATGTTCTTCTTCCCAATCTGAAGATATGTATCTGTACTGGGCAGAGTGCAGACAGACTGGGAAAAAATATGCAATGTTTACACAAATTCAAGCCTCTATTGACAGCTCTCAAATCACATGAAAACAAAGGGCAGAGATAGGAGCATACTGTATATTGTGAAATTTTCTTGGTATTCATGAATGTTGTTAAAGCTGTATTTGTTTAAAACTATAATATTAGCAGACCGGTTAATTGGCTATTTTGCAATGAATCATTTGTTATGACTGAGTTTGCTTAGTTAACCACTTGCCCTCCAGAGGATTTACCCTTCTTCCTGACCAGACCATTTTTGCGATACAGCGCCGCGTTAATTTAACTGACAATTGCGCGGTCATGCAACTCTGCACCCAAATAAAATTTATGTCCCTTTTCCCACAAAACAAGAGCTTTATTTTGGTGGCATTTGATCACCTGTGCAGTTTTATTTTTTGCGCTATAAACAAAAAAATGACCGACCATTTTGAAAGAAAAATTTTTTTTTTTTTACTTTTTACTATAAAATATATCCAGTAAAAAAAATTAAAAAATCAGATTTCATCATAAATTTAGGCCAAAATGTATTCTGCTACATGTCTTTGCTAAAAAAAATCCCAATACATGTAAATTATTTGGTTTACACGAAAGTTATAGCGTCTACAAATGGCGGTTTATATATACTGGAATTTTTAAAAAAAACATTTTTAGTACTAGTAATGGCGGCGATCAGTGACTTATAGCGAGACTGTGGCAGACATTCTGAAACTGGGAGGGGAAAACTAACTGCTACTGCCATCCCAATGACACTAATGCAGTGATCAGTGCTAATAAAAAGCACTGACACTGTACTAATGACCCTGGGCAGGAAGGGGTTAACAGCTGGGGCAATCAAAGGGTTAACTGTGTGCTGTCTGTGTTTTTACATTATGTGCTGTGTGCTTTTTACTAGGGAGACAAGCGGATTTGTATTGCTCTGCCCCGCAAAGCAATACAAAGCAGCCTGTTCATGCTGACGGGAGAGATCTGTGTTGCTTACACACAGACCTCTCCCCTTTCACTGTTCCTCAGTGATCATGGGGAGCTACCGGGGAATCTTCGACCAGGACCCGGTGATCAACAGCTGTAGCCACCAATGGTGGCGTGTGCCCCCTACCCGGAAATGCAAAATCACGTTATATATACATGATTTTGCACAGCCCTGCTGCCCTGTAGCAGTAGTTCTGATGTAGGGTGGCAAGGAAGCAGTAAAAGTGAAATTAAAAAAAAAATGTGACTTTTGCTGCAATATTCACCTTCTACCTAACCTACTCACCTTCTGCCTGGCCTTGTCCCTCCCAAGAATTTCCAGTCCATCTACAGTGTTCAGCATACATGAGTACATCCCTTTAGGAAAGTAAGATTTTTTCTGCCAATCAATATTTGTATGACC